TATTTGTAGAAATACTGTCAGCCTTACTCTTGGTTGACTGAGTCAGAATAAGTTTTTTACATACTGTCTCTTGTGGTGATGGGATGGATACCCAGAGCCTTGGGAATGCTAGGCAAGTTGTGATACCACTGAGCTACACTCCAACCTGTCACAAGATTCTACCAAAGCTCCATGTTCATCACACTGCTGCTCTAGAATAGATTTCAACCCTTTCCCCTTGAAAACATTGGCTCAAGACAACCTTTAAAACTAAATCCGGACAAAAAGTAAAATGGTGTTCAGCTACTATTGTCTTCTGTCTTTGTAGTGTTAATTTAAGTTTTGTGAACTATAAAAACCAGTCATTTTTATAGGAAATCCTAAGACTCCAGGTTAAAAAATAGATCTGGATTAGAGAGGGAGCTGGTGAAGACGAGGATGGCTCTGCTGTGGTGTTGGCTTCCCGGAAGGGGAGGGCCGTGGGGGTTAGAGCTCTAACGCCCCATTTCGTGATGATTACCACGATGGGACTGCTCACGCAACACAAGTACTGACTGGTTTTGTTTTTGTTTCTTTGATCATTGCAAATTCCAGTGCTTGCTAAGTTAGGATTTCAGAAGCTAAGGGAAGGAGAGAGGGGCTTTGCCTTGTGCTGAGGGAGAACTCGGAACAGTATGTACAAAGTCATTTCACGTAACGTTTTGTTTCCTTCTTCCTCACCATCCATTTGGTGTTCTTTCCTCGCTGTGTCAGCCTCTGCTGATCCGTACTTCTTAGACTACTAGTTGTTGTGCGTTCTGAATTGGTTACGGTTGCTCCTGGTCTCTGCCTGGTTCTTAGGTAGAGGCGGTGGCGTCCTGCGGGAGAGGGCACTTAGCACCACTGAAGACAGCTTTGTGTTGCTCTGTGATGACGGGGCTGCTGTGGGATCTAGTGGGGAAGACGGCTGCAGCTAATCATCTTGTAGGACTTGGAGCACCCCATTAAAAAGATGTAGCCAGAGTCCAGTGCTGAATTTGAGAAAGCTTGACCTAGACCTCTCTGCCAGAGTCCACTCATTTATGGTCCCTGGCTTCCAGTTTCATATCTACACTTCCTCCAGATTGCTGTAGAACTTCCTTTTTGAAATGTATCTGTTCCTGTCACCTCTTTTCTTAACTCCCTTTGGCCAAATGAGGTGCAGATTCGTTGCCATAGGTTGATAGCATAAATCTTTTGTTACAAGGATGAAGCTTGAAAGCAGCCTTTTTAATTAACCTTCTAGCGACCTTGTGGTGGGTGAACCCTGGACCACCCTGCTTCAGTCTAGTGCATTTCCCTAGTCCCATGTCCCCTGAGAAACAGTCTCAGCCAGCCTACACTCCCATCTCTCTTTCCCCCTTCCCTTCCTCTCTCCACTCCCCCCTCATTCCCCCCCCCCTCGTTGGCTTCCTCTGCCTTAAAAGTCTGCTCAGGCACTTGCATCCCTCCTGAGGTGCCTTTGCCTGCTCTCTGGGTACCTCAGTTCTGTGTGCATTACTGTCAGTGAGTTACGCTTTTCCTTCGTATCTAGGGCCTCCTAGACTATTACTACTTCTGTTCCAGGGAGAGGTGCATGCATGTCAGTGTATTCTAAGTACCTGCAATAGTCCCCAGTAGTCTTTCCTCAGATGTTCAGGTGGACATTTTTTTTTTTTTCTTGAAATAGCCCAGCTGACTTAGAAATTAGCTCCCAGATGAGACATTCCTGTATTTTTTGCAGTGAGACTTGGTCTGTGGAATCCTTTTTGTTTTTCTGTATACCCTTTTTTTTGCTATACCTTCATGCTTCCTGTTGCTGCCATTTCTTTTTTGAATGTCATTTTGCGTTGTGAAGTTGTATTCTGTTGTTTCTGTTACTTTTAATTTTTTCTTTCTTTCTTTCTTTCTTTCTTTCTTTCTTTCTTTCTTTCTTTCTTTCTTTCTTTCTTTCTTTCTTTCTTTCTTTCTTTCTTTCTTT